AATCCCCATTATACAAATCTTCTTCACTCTCCCTTCAATTTCCCCCAAATCCACACCCAAAAAAACCCTAATTTCCTCCTCTCCCATGGCGATTTCATCTCCTGCAGCTACTTCTTCCTCCTCTAAACTCCTCGACTCGTACGCTTCTCCCTCAATTCCCACCTCCATTAAACCCAAATCCCTAACTCTCTCCTCCTCCTTCCTCCCTTCAATCACTTCCCTCTCCCTCACAACTCCCTCACCTTCTAATCCCCTCCGTCGCTCGTTCACCGTACGCGCCGCCAGAGGAAAATTCGAGCGTAAGAAACCTCACGTTAACATCGGAACAATCGGTCACGTCGACCATGGCAAAACCACTCTAACCGCTGCTTTAACCATGGCTTTAGCTTCGATTGGAAGCAGCGTCGCTAAAAAATACGACGAGATCGACGCTGCTCCTGAGGAAAGAGCTCGTGGAATCACAATCAACACTGCTACAGTCGAGTACGAGACTGAGAATCGTCATTACGCTCATGTCGATTGTCCTGGTCACGCTGATTACGTTAAGAACATGATTACCGGAGCTGCTCAGATGGACGGAGCTATTCTCGTTGTTTCCGGCGCCGATGGTCCTATGCCTCAGACTAAAGAGCATATTCTATTGGCTAAGCAAGTTGGTGTTCCTGATATGGTTGTTTTCTTGAACAAAGAGGATCAAGTTGATGATGCAGAGCTTTTAGAGCTTGTTGAGCTTGAGGTTCGTGAGCTTTTATCTTCTTATGAGTTTAATGGTGATGATATTCCGATTATCTCTGGTTCTGCTTTGTTAGCTGTTGAAACTCTTACTGAGAATCCTAATGTGAAGAGAGGTGAGAACAAATGGGTAGATAAGATTTATGAATTGATGGATTCTGTTGATAGTTATATCCCGATTCCGACGAGGCAGACGGATTTGCCGTTCTTGTTAGCTGTCGAAGATGTGTTTTCGATTACCGGTCGTGGTACGGTAGCTACGGGTCGTGTCGAAAGAGGTACTGTTAAAGTTGGAGAGACTGTTGATTTGGTGGGGTTGAGAGAGACTAGGAATTATACGGTTACGGGGGTCGAAATGTTTCAGAAGATTCTTGATGAAGCAATGGCTGGTGATAATGTTGGATTGTTGCTTAGAGGTATACAAAAAGCTGATATTCAAAGAGGTATGGTTTTAGCTAAACCTGGATCGATTACTCCTCATACTAAGTTTGAAGCGATTGTGTATGTGTTGAAGAAAGAAGAAGGTGGAAGACATTCGCCGTTTTTCGCGGGTTATAGACCTCAGTTTTACATGAGGACGACTGATGTTACTGGTAAAGTGACTAAGATTATGAATGATAAGGATGAAGAATCGAAGATGGTTATGCCCGGTGATCGAGTTAAGATTGTCGTTGAGCTTATTGTGCCTGTGGCTTGTGAACAAGGGATGAGGTTTGCTATTAGAGAAGGAGGAAAGACTGTTGGTGCTGGAGTGATTCAGTCGATTCTCGAATGAGAAATTAGCGGAGGTGAAAAAGACTTTCGCCGTAGCGAAAGCTTGTTCTTGTTTTGTTTTTGTGGGTTTCCTTTACGATTCAGAAACTCTTGAAATTTGGTTTGCTATTAGTTTTGTTTTCCTTCTTTTTTTCGCCATTTTCTATGAGAACTCGGAATCGAAATGTCATATATTCTCTGGTTTCAATCTGAATTCAAACTCACGTTTATATATATGCGTTGTGTGTTGAGGTTATAGAGACAGGTCGCAAGATCTCTATGTGGTGAACCTTATTGATCTGAAATGTTAAGGCTCAAACAATGAAAGAGCTTTGGTAAAAATGGCTCTCTTACGTAATATATACATACTTTTTTTATAAGTCAGAAAATTCTTTAATAAAAGCAATTATAATTAGATTCATCATTTGTTTTCCTTTCGAATTTGTTTAAACTCTAGACCAACATTTGTTTCTTACAGTTTAAAGGCCACACTATTCCTGAAAGTTATTCTATTCAACTCCTCATTATGCATTTCATTCATTTTCCTCAATGCTACTTTTCTTTTAAAAAAAAAAAAATTCTATGTTGAAAATCATTAGGACATCGATTCTTTCTTGTGCTGATTTGTGTATGTAAATGCATATGTGATAGAAACACTGATTCTTATCGAGAAGAAGACCACATTATGCTGAAAAAGAAAACCAACCCAAACTAATATTGTTGTTTTCAAGTTCAAGATCACACTTTATTTATTACTATTTGTTTTAGAAATGCCTTGAAAATTATAAAACATTACAATTACATATTTGAGACTTTAAAAACCTAAGTTGCGAATTGCGATCGTGGATGATAAAATTTAACATTCTTAGATGATATGATATGTATAGTTGTAGCCTAATAGCTTCGAGAATTATGGCTGATGGAGAAACGAGAACTATGGATCGGTCAAACCACTACCAGCTTGTCCACTGGTTGATCCATCAGCCTCTATCTCACTATTGGGCTTATAGTTATTAATCAATCTCCTCCCTGCAAAAAACAACAAAGGTACATATATATATATAATGAAAATTTAATCGTGATTGTAACTTGCTAAATATATAATTTTAAAGTATATTTTTCAAATAGTATAATTTCTTCACCGGAAAAAATTTCTATATATTCATTTTTTTTATGTCAGCATGAATAGTCCAGTCTGCTGTATAGTCTTTAAGAATTTTTAACATCAAATTCAAGTTTCAGAATTTTCAGACTTATAAAATTTGAAAAATATAGTTTAAAAAGCTAAGAAAAAAAAATCAAGTATTAAAATAACTCTTCCATAAGTTTATCACATGTTGTAATTTTATTAGTAGCCATATTAATTTCACCACTTCAAATTTATATGGTAATTGTAGTCCTTGAACTAATATGATTTTCATCTAGAAAACATGGTTGATTAACCAAAAAGATTTACTTCCATAGTTTTCCCTTTTTTTTTTTTTTTTAATACCAGAAATTAGAAAATCATTTATTTCTCATACTGATTTGTTTAAGTAAAATGTATGTGATGATAGATACACTAACCGATTATTGGGAGTGGCTCTTGTTGAGAGGGAAGAGCACACTCGGTATGAGTTGGGACCAAAAGAACCACTACAAGAAGCAACACAAGTCCCATTTGTGAAACA